TCTATCTATCTATCTATCTATCTATCTATCTATCTATCTATCTATCTATCTATCTATCTATCTATCTATGTGTACCCTGCATATAGAGCGAGGTGACAATCAGGTCTATATGTGCGGCATGCAAAGGGATAGATCCAAGAAGAATTTAATTTACCAATGTCTAAAAGGTATTTCGAGGGTGCTCTCTGAGCATGCTTGTTTTCTTGCAGACGTTTCATTACTCAAACGAGATAAGATCATCAGTCATGTGGTTACCTTTAGTTTGCAAGAAAAAACGTCTGCAAGAAAAAAAAACGAAGCTCAGAAAGCCCCCAAGGCCCCCGCACGTCAACCCGGAGCAACAAATATTGCCCTTTAAAAGGTAAATTGTAAAACGCCCCAGAGACTCGCGATCTCCCCCGCTTCCCCTAAGGCTGCCAAGGCCACCTGGGCGGCCTTCGGGGCGGGCTTTGGAGGGGGGTGGGCAGCAAGCAGTAAGCAGCACCCTCCCCGCCTCCGGTTCCGCTTCCCAGGCCGAGCTCCAGAGCGCCAGCTCCTCCTCCTCCTGTCCTTTCCACTGCCAGGCGGGGTGGAGGGCGAGCGCCCCTTTGATCGCAGGTATATAGCGCTCGCTGCGTGGAAAGCGAGCCCGCTCTGGAGAGGCAATGCAGCTGAGTCAGCCGAAGAGAAGCGCAGGGCTTTCGGTGGCAACTCCAGTGGAGAGAAGTACCCGATTTCAGAGTACACCCGCCTGCGACACCCTCCGTCCTTCCCTCGGGGAGCTGCCCTCTTCGGTCTGCAGGGATCGGTCAGTGCGAAGTCTTGTTTTCTCTCTTTCCTGTTTTTAAATAATGCATCACTTGATCGTCTACTGGGAGATGTATTACCGGCTTTGCAATTGGAGAGATGGCGGTAGCAGCTGCCTGCAGATCTTTAAAACAGCCGAGCCTCTTCCCTGGATGAGTTGGCCCACAAGCCTGGGAAAAGATGCAGCTGCTTTAAAGAGCTGTGGAGTGATGCTAGGTTAGTGCCCTTGGCGTGGCCAAAGCAAATTTTTGGAATAGAACCCAAAGCATTCCCCAGCCCTGATTTAGGTATATACATACAATAACACATAAATTTACCATAAGCCTAAATATATATGCCTACATTTATTTCTATATATATCATCTATAACTATATATTTATATAATTTATTGTTTGATTTGTATCCCACCTTTATTAATGTTAGAGTAACTCAAGGCTGTGAATATACTTGATACTCCTATGAGAGAGAGATTGGCTCATTGTTACCCAGCTGGCTTTGTACCTAAAGGCAGGACTAGAAATCATAATCTTCTGTTTTCTAGTTTGGTACCTTAAACCGTTACAGGTAGTCCTCGACTTATAACAGTTCATTTAGTGACCATTCAAAATTACAATGGTACTGAAAAAAGGGACATGATCTTTTTTCACACTTACAACCATTGCAGCATCCCCTGGTCACATGATCAAAGTTCATATGCTTTGCAACTGATTCATATTTATGACAGTTGCAGTGTCCCAGGGTCACGTGTTTCCTTTTTGCAACCTTCTAACAAGCCAAGTCAATGGAAAAGCCAGATTTACTTAACAACCCTGTTAATAACTTAACAACTGCAGTGATTCACTTAACAAATGTTGCAAGAAAGATCATGAAATGGAACAAAGCTCATTTAACAAATGTCTCATTTAGCAACAGAAATGTTGGGCTCAACTGTACAAATTTCCTTTTCCCTATTAGAGTTTATATATGTCAGATGACAAAACCTTCAAAAATTTTGGAGATGTGTAAAATGTCAAATTGATTAAATTCAAGAACTGAAATAAAGGACTCAAAAAAAGTAATATATCCATTAAATATTAGTGTTACATTGTTACACCTTAAATAGCAAATTTCTCAGTCCTGGTGATCATCAGTTTTATATACTGCATGATAGATTTAGTAATACAAAGGTAAAATGTTTGAATAGATAGCTAATATTTATTATGTTTCTTTTGTTAGCTGCTGAGTTTGGCAAAATTCACTCTATTGTTACATCCTCTAACCCCCACTCCTTTAACCTCAAACTAACCACTATTGACCTCACCCCATTGCTAAGGGCCATGCATAAGTGCACCATCGCGCCCACCGTTACTGTCCTATTGTGCCCATTTATTCATACCTATTTCCTATATTCTTAGTCATGTTTATACTTATATCTATTACCTTGTAAGCGATTGACAAATCAAAATAAATAAAATAAAATAAAAATAAAAAATTCTGATCCCTACATAGGTATCACTGGTAGATGACTATTTTTTGTTAGGATGCCAATTTTTTCTAGAGGTGGAGGTGGAAGAGGGAGAGAGTAGAACTAAAGATACATGTTGTTTTGCATTGATACCTCACCATTAAAGTCATTAAAACTGTTTAATAACAATTTGTGTGTTACTGATTGCCATCAATTGTCTGCTGTCGTCTTGAAAGACCCTATTTTAGTTAGCTAGTGATGGGATTCTTGTCTTTAGTATTTATATATTAATGATTATTTGTATCATCATTACAATTATTGTAACTGTTCTTGCAGTTCTAGACTGCTTACAATAAATACAATATGGATTATATATATTTATTTATTTATTACCTATAGGCAATGTCAACGTACAGGTTCAAACACATATTACCAATAAAAATGAGAGTAGAGTAAAACACAATAGCTATAGTATAAAATACAATAATTGAGTACATAAATATATAAAATAGAATAACATGACATAAAATTATTATTTCTTTTTCATCCCTACAATCTACCCCAATCAGGCCCAATATGCCGATCTCAGTAGGACCAATCGCTTCTCAGCCTTTTGGTTAAGATCAAGTATAGTATCTATAAAAGATTCATAAATACAGCAGCCTGTTAAAAGCCATTACACATTATTAGTACTTTTTTAAAAAATTGCAATCCAAATTGTTGCTGCTGATGGACAAATCTGTACATCTGAATGGTCTCCTGGAAAGTTCCTTTTTTACAGAAAGACATCAGAGTACCAGCACATTTGACCTTGGGCCAGCTGTTCTAGAGAAAAGGGTCTGCTACTAAAAATATCTCAAGCCCCTTGTAAGTGGGTATGATCCTTTATGCCCTGGATAAAGGATAAGACTCTTTGTAGGGCAGGCAAAGTCTAAATCAAGATGATCCTAAAGGTAACATGTTCCCAAGCTGTATGGGGCTGACTAGATAATCCTACCACTTCATGTTGAGCTATAAATTTGCTGGCAAACATTGAAGATCCCATACTATCAACTCTGCACTAAAACTGATTGGTACCAATCAGCAAGAAGGCTTTGCTATTCTCAGCTTTCTGGGTTATTTTCAAGGGCAGCCCCAAGTAGCTGATAGATGAGGCAAGAGTGTGACTCACTATTTTCAATGCCTTCTGAATCTTGCAGTTATTTTAAAATAAACCATTCTTCCATATATATATATATATATATATATATACATACATACATATACATATACATATACATATACATATACATATACATATACATATATATATATATATATATTAAAGTCTTAAGATTTTAAAATAATGCATTGGAACAACCTTTAGTCATCTGATAGTTAACTATAATGAGCCTGCATATCTTTATAGCAAGAGAGAGTGCTAGAACTGTGCAGGATTCAATAGAGTTTAAGGAAATATGAATGGGTAATAGTAGGATGCTGGAGCAGGAGAGTTTGATGCAATATGGCTTTATTTGGTCTGATGCTTTTATTGGGAGCTAACTTCTGGTGAAAATCACTGAAATTGTTGAGAGCTGAAATATAGTTCCTAAATCATTGTGCTTAGATCCTGACAAAAACTTGCACCGTACTTTATTTTTGCTAACATTTTATTTAAAAAAATTGTATTTCTGTGACATTTCCACATGGTTTGGAAGAGAAATCCAATCCCAATAATGTATATATTGAAGTAACTTTTGGTTAAAAAACAAAAGACCTGAACAACTTAGTATATATTTAAATGAAATATGAAATGCAATATGACTCATTTACTTGCTGTCAAATTAATATTTTCATTTTCCTCCCTTTCCAAATCTAATTTAGAGATACTCATCCCAGCGTCTTGCGTACTACAGGAAACTTTGTGATTTAGAGTCAACACAAAGCAAATAAAAAATATGAAAACAAATCCTGTCATCCAAGCTGCCATTGACCTCACAGCTGGGGCTGTAGGTAAGTCTTAGGAATTGCTGTTTACATAAATCCTGTTAAAAACTGATAGCAGCTGCTTTTATGATAGTTAAACAAAGCTCTTCTCTGGAGGTGTAAGGCAATTCTGTTGACAGCAGTATGGGTCCTAAAGGTGGCTTGTTTAGTGAAGGGCACTAACAGGGAATAATGTTTTGACCTTGCCGTAAATTATGAGCTTCCCATGAATTGCTTCCTTTCCTCTAATCCCTTCCTACGGAGGAAAAGTAAATGTGTAAGCACTTTTTTGTCTAATAATTTCCTAACTGCGGCTTTTAATTTGTTGAGAGCTTATTTCATGCTTACAGAAGCATTTCAAAATATGTCACAAGAAAAAGTTGAGCAATGATTGGAGAGACAAGATAATCTTTGTTTTGTTTTGCATTCTATAGTTAAGTTGTGTGCTAGTCAGTCAACTGCTTTTTATTGGTTTGCTTATAG